GCCCGTGATAGCGGCCCCGCGGCGGTCCCCACCAACCCTCGGAAGGGGGGAGGGGGCGCCGTGGGGGGCCGCCCGGTTCCCGGGGCCGTCCAGAAGGGCGGATCAGGGGGGGCGAAAGACCCTCCAGAGAAGGCCGCGAAAGCTGCGGGGGGGGGCAGAAGAAGAAGAGGAAGAAGGAGAAGAAGGCCCCCCTCTCGCAGCAGACGCAAGGAGCGGAGGAGACGAGTGTCCCCCGGAAAAGGGACAACAAGCCCTCCCAACCCGCTGCGGGGGCTGTGTCATACGCAGCAGCGGTTGAGAGGAAGAGCGGGGTCGCAGGGAAGTCCGCGAAAGGAATTCCCAGGGCGGCGGCCTCTGGTGCCCCGGCAAAGGGGCAGACTGGGGGTCCGGTTAGAAAGATCCCCAAGCGCAGGCTCCCCCGTACGTCGGCCGTGGTCTTTACGTGTCCCAATGGGGACTATCACGAGACCATTGTCAGACTGCGGCGGGAGATCAAATTGGAAGACCTTGGCATCGGGGGCCCGGTCAACGTAAGATCGGGTGCCACCGGTGCCAGGGTCATCGAGGTCCGGGGAGGGTCACGCCGAGAAGGCTGACCTTTTCGCGGAACGCGTCAGGGGAGTCCTCTCCGCGGAGGACGGGACGCGGGTGGACAGGCCGAGGAGGATGGCCGAGATCCGCCTGCGCGACCTCGACGACTCCATGGGCGTCGAAGAGGTAAAGAGGTAGGTGTCTGAGGCTGGACGGTGCGACGTCGCAGAGCTGCAGGCGGGCGCCGGAGGGAGGTCCAGCCTCAGGATGCGCCTGCCCCTCATAGCGGCGAGGGAGCTGTCCCAGAAGGGGCGGATCCGGATCGGCTGGGGGGCGGCCAGGGTGGACCTTCTCGAGGCACGCCCCATGCGTTGCCACAAGTGCCTCGAGAGGGGCCACGTGAGGGCAACATGCCCCAGCGCGGCGGATAGGAGCGGGAGGTGCTACCGGTGTGGTGAGGCCGGTCACACCTCCCGCAACTGTCGGTCTGCCCCTAAGTGCCCGCTTTGCGCGGACAAGGGCAGGCCGACAGCGCACGTTCTGGGCGCGAAGACCTGCGCCCAGAAGAACGTGCGCGGGGGACCATCGAGGCGGCGCACGGAGCAGGCACCAGCAACCGGTGTCCCTCCCCCGGCCGAGGAGCGGCCGACGGAGGGCAGGAGGGAGACGACGGGTGACGAGCCGCGGGGGGAGCCCCAACCGCAGCGCCAGCCTCGCACAAGAGCGCGAGAGGAGAAGGCCCCAGACGAGGCCATGGAGATTGAGGCCCCATCGGACGGGGGGAATGAAGACTAGCAATGTCTCGCCCCCCTCGTCCGAATCTAAGGGGATACGGCCTGCTACAGGCCACGTGAATCACTCTCCATCTGCACAGGATCTGCTCCACCAGAGCATGATGGAGAGGGGATTCACGTTGGCGATACTGTCCGAGCCTCACCGCCCCCCAGAAGGCAGTCCATACTGGGCTGTCGGGCGGGCGGAAACCTCGGTGGCAATTCGATGGCGGTCGGAGCCGGGGGGGCCCGATATGACCCCCATCGAAAGAGGGGAGCGGCACGTCGCCGTGCAATGGGAGCCCATCGCTGTGGGGGCTTATCTGAAGCCCACCAGACGTCTTGACCCCTTCGAGGGCTGGCTGTCGAACATTGGACAGACGGTCGTACGTCTGGGTCCGAAGCCGGTCCTCGTGGCCGGGGACTTCAATGCCTGGAATACGGATTGGGGTTCCTGGTTCACGAACAGGAGGGGTAGGGCTCTGGCGAGATGGGCGGCGGCGCACGGAATGGCCCTCGTGAACGAGGGCCGGACCCCCACCTGCGTGCGGACGCAGGGGGAGTCCATTGTGGATATCACATGGGCTACCCCCCCGGCCGCGCGCTTGATCTGGGTGGAGGGTGGAGCAGGACATCGAGACCTTGTCGGACCACCGATACATATCGGTGGAGCTCGGTGTCCTCTCCTCCGTGCGTCGCCACGAGGAGACGCGACCGCGATGGGCCCTCCGGAAACTCCGCGAGGATGCCCTGATGGCCACGATAGAGGCCGCCTGTTGGGTTCGGGGAAGTTTCCCCGAGACCCGGGAGACGGACCCCCTGCAAG